CTGTGAACGAATCTTTTGCTGTGAACTAATCTTTCGCTGTGAACGAATCTTTTGCTATGAACAAATCTTTCGCTGTGAACGAACGATATACGCTTTATATTTGTAATACAGAGGCGGAAAAAAAAATTTTAGACCATTGTTTTTTAACACCTTTGCTTCCCACTCCATCCCAGCCACGGAGATGCCCAACAGCAGGATGACGGTCAGAGTCCCGACGATTCTGATGTCATTTAGTTCGTCAGTCATCAGGGCGTCGACATCCTGCGATCAATAAACCAGAAAGAACTGAGATCAGTACTGGAGTTGGCGTCTCCCTGGTGGACAGTTCAGAGGATGGACAGTCTTACATTCAGCATTTCCACAACCGTCTCGGCGAAGCCTACGACGTACATGGCCACAGCCACGGCGTTGGCAAAGGCAAAGATCAGACCGATGGAGCCCCCAAACTCTGGTCCCAGACTCCTGGAGATCAGGTAGTAAGCGCCCCCTGGACAGACCCGGAACAGGCTGTAAATCGTGAAATACTTTCTCATTTGAAGACCAGATAAAACCTTCTCTGGAGTTTCCCACTCGTAATTGGACACTTTCTGGGTCAGTTGACTAAGTTTAGAGGTCAAAGGTCACATTTATAGCAGAACAGCATATTCTGGGGACCCATATTTTAAAAGTCAGAAAACTTCGCGATCCAAGTCAATAGACATTATTCGTAAACTCTTGAGAAACATGATGCGAGACGACCCCCCAAAAATATTTCTCTTGCGACCCACTTGAGGGTCGCGACCCAGTCTTTAGGAAACAATGTTTTATAGGAACCTTTAAAAGTAGTAAGAACTGTGACATAAAGTACTAGCCACTAGGGGTGCAATCAAGTTTTTTGATCTCCTGTAAAAGTATAAATTACTTTTCTATGCAGTTTTTTCATTGTTCTCCAGTAAAATATTTCAAATACCGCTTCACTCCTACCTCCTCGTACGAATCCGTTGGTTGCTATAGCGGAGGTGGACAGACCAGTGATGGTGGTCACCACGGTGGCCATCAGAATGATTGCAATGGTCAGTCCTGTCGGAAATATACACGTAAAAATTAAGAGACCTTCAAAGAAGAGATGCCTTCACACATGTACGATTATTGATTTATCTTTAGCTACTGATAGACTGATCAGGCAGCTAATGTCGTGGCTTAGCGATAGGAATCCTGACCATGTAGAATATTCTGGATGGGATTCGATCTAAGGATACTTCATTCAAACACATCCAGCGACCTGATACTACTGTAAAAAAACGGTACGCAGGTTGAAAACGATACCCGTCGTGGCCCATCACGTAGCACAGACTACAGGTCTTAAATCCCTGGAGCCCATC